CGAAAATCAACCAAAATCTTCCTAAATCTCTTACTTTTATCCCTCATTAAGCCTTTAAACTCACACTTATGCATCCAAACCAACTTGTCTTCATTTACTACTCCCTAACATACCAAATCTCATTAGAACACTTACATCTATGAATCATACCATGTTTTCAATCATACTCTTAATCAATTCTGAACTTTCTATCTCTTTCAATAGCCCATTAACAAGTCAAATTTAGTCCTAAAACTACAAAAACTACACCATATCAAAAATTCATTTCAAAACCCATTTTACAAATCCCATTCTAATTTGCTCATCTTGTTGTTTTAATCTATTATAAGCTTTCCTTAAGCTTTTTTAACACCCAATCTACCCACACCAACCTAAATATTTAGAAACCAACAAAAATCATGGAAACTTACCTTTGTAATGGCTTCCTATGGGCAAGGAGAAAGAAGAGAGAAATGTTTCCAAACTTTTCCCCTATTCCACGTGTTACATTCCTTAAAAGAGAGAAGATAAAATCTTTCAGGTGAAAAGACCATATTGTCTTTCTCCAAATCCCAAATTAATATCAAGTCCAGACCAAAAAGTTTTACAACAAATCCTTAAAATTTTCAAATTATTCTAATTAAACCACTGAGTTTTAAATTTTTATATTTTGGTCTCTAACCCGATGATTGGGGTGTTACAATATGGTCGTAAGTGTCGTACAACGTTGTATTGGACTGAATTGAGTGAAAGACGTGTTGTTAAACCTAATTCAATTTATGAAGCGGAGGATAAGGTTAAGCTGATATTGAATCAGTTAAAGGTTGTTTTTTATCGCCATAAGTCTTATGCGGATTTGAAACATCGAGAGATTGAATATGAGGTTGGTGACTTTATGTTCTTGAAAGTTTCACCTTAGAGGAAGGTGTTGAGGTTTGGTTGCAAAGGAAAGCTTAGTTTGAGATTTATTGGATCGTATGAGGTGTTAGAGCGTATAGGTTATGTAGCTTATACGAGTTGAGGATGTAGAGATTTGTGTCGATCTTTCTTATAAGGAAAAGTCGGTATAGATTTTAGCTCGAGATGTGAAAGTTCTCTAGAATATAACTATTCCGTTAGTAAAGGTGTTGTGGTGTAACCATAATATTGAAGAGGCTACATGGGTGCCTGAGGAGTCAATGAAGGTGTAATATCCATATATGTTTGTTTAAGGTAATTTTGAGGATAAAAGTCTCTTTAGGGGAGAGAGTTGTAACGTCTCAAAATCCAGGTCAGTAGTTCAAGTTGGTAATCAGAATGATTTTTTGGATTTTGATAAAATATATTTTTTTGGGAAGTTGGTGATAAATATTTTCTAAAATGGTTTATATGGTTTTTGATTTATTTTTAGGATTTTATAATGCCTTATAAGGTGACTAAATTAAACGAATTAAAATGTTCAATTTTAGTGACTAAATTATAAAGGACTGAAATATCAAAATCTATGAAGCTATTTTACCAAGTGAAATATTCACTCTCCTTCCCCCTACTCTTAACCATGAACTTTCCTATATAACTACCTTGATTTATTCATACTTTTTTTGTGTTCCTAAATTCACTTCCTAAAACCTTGATTAATTCTTTGTTCTCTTCATCAAAAAATTACCATTGCAAGCCTTGCAAAAATTCTCTTTGTTTCTCCTACATGGTCGATTTCTTCTCTTATGTAATACCCCAAATATCGAATCAGAGACTTTATTGAAAGAATCTAAAATTTGAGAATTTATTTAACAAATTGATAAAAGATGAGAATGATTTGAAATAGTGGTTTAGACTAAATTGTAGCAATGGATGATTATGAGGGCATTTTGGTCCTTTAAAGGGAAAATGAATTTAAAATTTATTTTTAATAAGATATTAAGTAAAGACGGGATAGGGGAAATAGCTTACCAAAAGTCATCCCCTTTTTCTTCTTTCTTTTCCCATGAAAAAGCTCTCCTCCATAATTAAAGATCTAAATCAAGCTCCCGAGTCAAGCAAAACAAAAGGCAAAGGAAAAGAACCTGAGTAATCAACTTTGCATTTTTAGATATAATAGCGAGGCAACCCAGGTGAGTGCATTTATTATGTACGTAGATGTTATTGTATAGATTTACCCAATGATTTATTGATATATGTATGACGATTACCCAATAGGCACTTTGTGTGCAAAAAGTTAAGAAATTCATAATTAGTTTATGAATTTCAATATGGGCACTTTGTGTGCAAAAAGTTAAGAAATTCATAATTAGTTTATGAATTTCCATATGGGCACTTTGTGTGCAAAAAGTTAAGAAATTCATAATTAGTTTATGAATTTCCATATGGTTTGTGTGCAAAAATTAAGAAATTCATAATTAGTTTATGAAATTCCATATGGGCACTTTGTGTGCAAAAAGTTACGCAATTATATGAATTTTGGTTGTGAGTGTGCAACCCACGTAAATTATAATAATTTTATAAATTATCGTTTGACACTACATGTGCAAACTATAGAATTTATAATGAATTAAAAGAGTTAAGTGATATTATGAATAATTATTAGAGTAAAAATAGTTCTAAAGTAATAGATTAATGGCCTAGCTATGCATTTGGCAGAAAGGTGTCAATTATGCCAGTTAGATGAACAGTTAAATACTATTGAGTAAAAGATTAATGGCCTTGCTGTGCATTTGGCAGAAACGTGTCAATTATGCCAGTTAGATAATCGATTAAATACCGTTGAGTAAAAGATTAATGGCCTAGCTGTGCATTTGGCAGAAATGTGCCAATTATGCCAGTTAGATGAACGGTTAAATACCGTTGAGTAAAATATTAATGGCCTAGCTGTGCATTTGGTAGAAAGATGTCAACTATGCTAGTTAGATGAATGGTTAAATACTGTTGAGTAAAAGATTAATGGCCTAGTTGTGCATTTGGCAGAAATGTGTCAATTATGCCAGTTAAATGAACAGTTAAATACCGTTGAGTAAAAGATTAATGGCCTAGCTGTGCATTTGGCAGAAAGGTGTCCATTATGCCAGTTAGATGAACAGTTAAATACCATTGAGTAAAAGATTAATGGCCTAGCTGTGCATTAGGCAGAATGTGTCAATTATCCCAATTAGATGAGTAGTTAAATACTGTTGAGTAAAAGATTAATGACCTAGCTGTGCAATTTGACAGAAAAGTGTCAATTATGCAAGTTAGATGAAAAGCTAAATGCTTTTGGGTAAAAAACTAAAGGAATTATAATGCATTTATATATATATATATATATATATATATATATATATATATATATATATATATATATATACAACAATGCATAATTGGTATGAATGGATGTCATAAAGGAAAAAGTAAACAATATATAATAGGCATGAAAGGATGCCCAAATAAAAATACAAAACGATGTATTAACAATATTTAAGGTGCCATCCATAATGATTATAAAAGATACATGATCAATTGGCACTTTGGTGCAATACATGTATAGTACTTTCTCATTTAATGTACACAAGACAAATAAAGAATAATGGGGGGAAATATACCGAAGGATAAGTACGATGAGCCTACTAAGAATAATTGCAATGATTGTATTAAAGAATTATGATTGAACAGAGAAGGGCTTATCTGGTCCTTAGGGATTATGCAATTTAATTCGTCATTCATTGGTTATAAGATATCTATGTATAAATTATATATATGTATAAATTGTGATATCTTTACAGTATTATGTCTCACTAAGTAAATACTTAACGTGTGTTGATTTCACGCGCAGGGAACGATCAAGGTTTTGCCAAGTAAGGAGTGCAATAGTAACAACTTTCATCAATTAAAGGTTGACTCATCAGTAACATTAGGACAATCTCATTCATTTTGAGAGCTTAGTTGGCATGTAATTAAACTATAGTAAATATTTTGTAATGTATTTAAGTGATTGTTTTAGTATTTTGCTTCTATGAATATCATATTTTATAGTTGTTCAAATTGAAACAAAATTTTACGGGTTTTCAAATGATATAATGTTTTATAAAGTGATGTGACATCTGTATCTCGTGTACGGAAAGATGTACATGGTATGAGTGTTACACCTTACCTTTGCCATCGTTCATTTCTTGATTTTTGATAACATTCTCCCTTGTTTCTTTATCTCATTATTCCTTCCTTCAACATCATTCTTTGATGATTTTTTATATCATTCTACTTTGGTCTTCTTGGTTTTTTTTGGATTGTTTCTTGGTCTTTTTGGTTTATTGGTCGTTAACACAAGTAATTACATATAGGATAAATGCATATTTAGTCGTTTAACTATCACTTTGGTTCTGTTTTGATCACTCACTTATTTTTTTTCAAAATCATATTTAAAATAACATTTTAGTCATCCGTAGTAAAAAACGTAACGATGTTGATGATGTATCACCATAATATAATACCACGTCATGATTGAAAAAAATAAAAATACTACATTAGCAGTTCTATTAATTTTTTAAAATCGGATGATCAAAACAAAACTAAAAACGTAACTTTAGGCATGATTTAAAAAGAACTATTGAGCGACCAAAATAGAAACAAAGTAATAGTTGAATGACTAAATATATAATTTACCCTTACATATATTAGCAATATGACATCACATAATGTATTAACAAAAAGCGAAGGAATTTATTCAGCATTAATGCTTTACATGTAAATTACTAAAACCCCACTAAGATAATGCATGTCCTTATCCACATATTGTGAACCAGCCTTCGTTCAAGATCCAGCTTGAAATCTGAATGGGTTTTGAAATGCTATACACAAGCCAGCCAATATGTGAAGGGCTTAAAAGAAAAAGAAAAAAACTCTAACAATGATATAATCGTAATTTCACAAGCGCGTGAGAGACTGCCCCTGCGAACTCGCGTTTTCCAAAGCTTTCGTTTCGATCCGTCCGTTTCCGAGACTGACGAAGACTGAAAGGAGCCTAGAAAGCTCCATCTCCAAATCCAAAAAATAAATAAATAAAAAATTTCAAACTCATTTCCATGGCAGATCTCTAAGTTCCACAACCCCCCCCCCTTAAAAAAATCCCAGTCATCTGTTAAATCTTTACTCTTTTCCCCAAATTTTATAAAATTACTTTCATATTTGTAAATCCTACCACTGCATTTCGTTATAGATAAAAAGGAAAAAAAAATTCAAATTTCATGTCAGCTCTGCCTGCTTCAGTTTCTTCTTCTTCTTGGATCCCTGAAGACGATCTCTTATTGAAGAACGCCATTGAGGTAACCTCTTTCTTCTTTTTCTCAAAATTTAATATTAGTTAAATTTCCTTTCTTACAGTCTTAAAGGAATCTTTTCCACTTATCTGACCTTAAAGTCTAAAGCGAGAGAAGATAAAACCCTAGGTTCAGTTGATTTCTTCGTTTTCTCCCCTAAAAAGTGATACTTGAAATTTTGGTAATTTCAGTCCGGTGCTTCTTTGGAAGCTCTAGCAAAAGGTGCGGTTCGATTTTCACGGAAGTTTACTGTTAGAGAATTGCAAGATCGATGGCGCTCTTTACTTTATGATCCTCTTATTTCTGATCAAGCAGCAGCTCGTATGATTGAGGTTGAATTATCTGCTTCTAATTTGTCTTCTAAATTGAATAAATTTGATTCTCTTGTTGAAAATGGAAGTGCTAAAAGGAAATTTGAAAGCGTTAAAAGATCATATTATACTATGAGGAAGAGGACCTGTAACCACCATGTGACGAACTCGAGTGGTGTTAGTTTTCTTGGATCATCTAATGGTAATGATTGCATCCAGAATAGAGGTTATGATGAGCTTGTTGGGCCCCGTGAAGATTGTGTTCAGAACCAATTCGGATTCGGTGATTTAGGCATTGATAGTGCAGGTAAACAATCACAAAAGGATGATTTGCAGGTATCTTTGAAGAAGGATTGCTTTGGTGAGAAAGTGGAGAATATTGAACAGAATGATGTGTCTAGGAGGTCTCATTGTGTCATTTTCAAGGCTTCAGATAAATTTGATCATCCATCTGGGGTTGAAGGAACCAAACCTTACTCGGTCGGATGTTCGTCACCACAGCCAGATATGCCACTGTGGAAAACGATGGAAGATGTTCCAGCGGCTGTGATGCCATTTAATGATGGCCCTGGAGACAAAAGCCAACATGTAGAAGGTGAAATTGTGCATCCTGAAGACGTGGATGGTAAGAAAATGTGTGAATCTGGATATGATATTGTTCCTTCAGACATGATGTTAAAAGATGGTTATGAAATTAGTAATTCAGTTGCTACAACTTGTGGTGATTTAGCTGAAACTGATGCTTTATTAAATTTTGACGGTGATGCCATTGATAAATCTTGTTACGAGAGTGTGAATTCACTTTTGCTGAACTCTTCTAATGTTCCTGAAGATGACACACCAAAGACTAAAGAACCTGAGACATTAGTTTCAGATGTTTGTCCTGGTACTTCGGAAACTGCTTGTCCTCCAAAGTTGGATGAAGTTCCAGACCAACATTCACATTCTGGGCATGCTGAACAGTCACATTTTGGGAATCCGGAAATCAATTTGCCTTCATCTGCGTCTTCGTCAAATCCTCATTCTCTTGAACTTCATGATGAAGTGATTTGCTGCATGTTGAACAGCGAGGATCCTGAAATCCCATGCAATGATGATGTTCTTCTAGGTAAAGATTTAGCTACGGAAGAGTGTCTTCTAGTGGGTAGTGATCAGGCCTCATCCCTTGCAAATCAAAAGTCTAGTAAAGAAGTGAGCTTGATACAGACAGAAGATAATCTTACTCAATGTTTTACTGCTCCCAAGTTGATAGGATTGGACATTTTGTCAGAATCTAGTCAAGGTGTCAAATCTGAGTTTCATGATGGTCAATGTCATGTGATTTCCAGGCAGTCTCAAAATTCCCTGGTCTACCCATATAGGTTCAAAGCAGCCCACACATTTCCCAATTCTGCTGCCGATGGTGCAGCAGTAGAAGATCCATCAGATGAATGCAATACCAAAGATATTTCTACGTATGCAAAAGCAAGTTCCATTGTAGATACTGTTTTGGAACCTGAAGCAAACAATGCAACATCTGATCAGATAGAATATGAAAGCGGCGATAACGTTCCTAGCTTTTCTGACATTGAAGCCATGGTAAATCTTGATTATTATTATCTTTATGGGAACTTATTTATTTATGATGTCATCGGTATTTATTATACTGGGTGTTTAAAGAACAATCATTTGATGTTCGCTTCAGATACTTGAGATGGATTTATGTCCAGAAGAATTCGATTCTTTCATTAGGAGAGAAGGTATGAAGTTCAATTTGAACAACAATGGTCAAGTTATGGTTGAACAACAATGTTGATTTTGTTTTCTTGAAATTTCTAGTCTCAAGATATCAAGATGAGCATTCCAAGAGAACAATAATCAGGTTGGAACAAGGTGCTCGGTCTGCTATGCAAAGAGCTATTGCATCTCGAGGAGCGTTTGCTGTCTTATATGGCATTCATATGAAACATTACATTAAAGAATCTGAGGTAATCAATTTTATCCATGCGTCGTTTTAGATTGCATGCATTATGCTGAAAATCAGCCCATTCCTTTCTTTTTCCGTAGAAATTTTCATATGATATGGTTGGGAATATACTCATGAACTTTTATCTTCTCAATTTCTTTTCCAAACTCCTTTTTTTACCCTTGTTTTTGTTACTCAAGTTTTTGGTTAAACTTGTGGTGCTTATGCTATGCGTGTTTTCTTTCTATATTTCAATGCATGAAGGTGCAGAAAGTTTGCACTGTATTAGGTTGAGCGTTTATGTGTATTAATTTTCATATTGCCTGGTTAGTAACCGATGTCTTGACATTTGATGCGAATGATTGCTCTCATGTTTCTAGTGCAAGCTCTCCCTGGTTTGCAGGTTATACTTGGCAGGGCAACCGTGGATGTTGGTGTTGATATTGACTTAGGAAGGGAAGGGCGTGCTAACAAAATATCTAGACGACAGGTATTTTGATTTCCTTGACATAGATGGCTATTTGCATTTTGTCTGAGTTTTGCTTATGGACAGTGCACAGAGGGTGGGGGAACTTTGACCCTTGAATCTGCATATTCCTACCCTTCAAGGGGGAGGTGTCTCACCACCTTGCCAAATCTGCGGTCACTCAATTTAGATATTTGAATTATCAGTTGCGGATACCTTGCCTCTTCTTAGAACTTATCTATGAATATTTGAATAAGTTACTATTACTAAAGTGGGAGGCCACTAGAATGCTACAGGTATGTTCTGTACCTTAGTTTGTATGTGGTGACACTTGCACTTTTATGTCAAATTATTGGAAATGGGTTTAAATGTTATTGAGTTAAATCCTTAATTAAGATTCAGAGTTACTTTTAGGAAAGGTCTTTCGATCAGTTTAGAATTACTTTGTTTTTGCATACCTTAATTAGCCTTTTGAGCGTGTTCTTTTATTACGAGTTATATTCCTACATGCTACATCCATTAATTCTAGTTTATTAAGGCACTTGTGAAGATGAACAACATTTTTGTCCAAAAAAATATTGATTATACCTGTTTAGCTTGTCAGATATACTTTTTAGATTGTTTTTCTCCTATAATGCTTGCAAATGTACATGGGAATAATTACTCTCATTGTTTCTGCTAGGCAATGATAAAACTGGAGGAGGATGGTTCCTTCTCTTTGAAGAATCTGGGCAAGAGTTCGATATTTTTAAATGGGAAGGAAGTTTCTACTGGACAGCTGATAGCTCTTGGTTCAAACAGTTTGATTGAGGTAGCTTCAATTAATTGTCTTTTTTCTTTCAAATTATACAATCTTCACTAATTGACATTTTCCTTCTTGCAGATTAGGGACATGGCTTTTATCTTTGAAATAAACCATAATTCTGTGGAGCGTCATCTAGCAAAAATCACCTTAAATAACCAAGAAAAGAAAACAGCATTCAATGGGTCAGAAGAGCCAAAGAAGGTGTTGCATGAATTGGGAGTTTTGCTTACAAGTACGTCTAAACACGAATAACCAAGAAAAAACATTTAACTGGTGGGAAGAGCTGAAGAAGGTGTTGCATGAATAGGGAGATTTGCTTGCAAGTACGTCTCATTCCGATACTAATCAGCTTATATCGGAATGAGACTGGAGCCACTCTTAGTTGGTTCAAACAGTTTGATTGAGTTTGATTGGTTCAAACAGTTAGATAGGTATATACCTAACTAAGAGTGGCTCCAGTCTCATTCCGATATTAGGGTAACTTATGAGTTTGTCGAACAATTGGATCATTGCTATTTGCTTATGGATACTAATCACAAGGGTGACTACTTTCGTTTTGAACTGTGCCCAGTGCAGGCGGCCTGGAAGTCTCCTAATGGTGATAACTCTTGCGAAGATTCGGGCTGTTGGTACTTCATTAGAATCTTGGCAGCATGATCGTGTGGCTTCTACCCATACCCGCACTCAGGAGCTTAAAACATAAACTAATGATTGCTTGACAAGGCATCTTTCGGACTTAGAGCTCCAAGAATGTGTCTGCCAAAGCTGAACTAAAATCGTTACTGGAGAAGGAAGTGGCCTTTTGGTCCTGATGCTCCCGTGTCACTCGGCTAGTCCAGTAGGATAAAAAATACCTCCTATTTCCACGCGAAAGCTAATGAGAGGAGTAAGAAGAATTGGATTAAGGGCTTATATGACTGTCAGACACTTGCATGAAGACAGAAATGTTAAAAATATTGTTGTTGCCTATTTCCGAGATTTGTTTGCTTCATCGAACCCCATTATAGATGCTAGGATTTTGGACGCTTTGGACACGGTTATATCTGCAGATATTAATGCTGATTTATGTAGGGACTCTACTGCTGACGAGGTTATTCAAGCATTTTGAGACATAAACCCAAGGAAAGCACCAGGGGTCGATGGGCTCACTGGTAGATTTTACCGACTACATTGGGGCTTAATATGGACCAGGTTAACTGAACGGTAATTGTCCTTGTTCCTAAGGTTGAAGAGCCGCAGCATACCAAACAACTCTGGTCGATTAGCTTGTGCAATGTAGTTTACAATATAGTTTCCAAAGTTTTGATTTTTCGGATGAAGGGGTTCATGCCATTGTGCATTAGTGACAATCAGGCTGCCTTTATTCCTGGAGGCAGATTTCGAATAACATTTTAATTGCTCACAATTTGCTTCAATATATAACTCGTCAAATAATGGTCTGAACAAAGAGACGACTCTCAAGCTGGAGATAAAGAAGTCCTATGATAGGGTGGAGTGACCCTTCGTCAGATTATGTTGCGATTGAATTTTGATCTGAATGGGTGAATTTGGTTATGCAGTGTGTAGAATCTCTCTTTTTCTGATGTGGGTTACATCACGAGGAATCATTTAGGTAGTGTCCTTGGTGGCTTAGCTCAACCTGCTGCAGGTTGTTTGGTGTCTGGCTTGGCAGAGATTCATGCTTAAACAGCGGACCTTCGGTTTGCATGCGATAATCGTTCTTGACACAAGTTATGTCAGTCTTCAATAAATTGGCTTCTGTAGAGGATGATTGTAACGCTTTAATCCAGTCTGACTTGAAGATTCACGATTACGATGTCACACTGGCCATTGAAATGGCTATAAACTTTTTTCTTTTAAAACTGATACATAACACATCTGATAATAGTTCATCCATAGTAAATAAAACAAAAAGTTGTAATAAAGTTTACAACACAAGGGAGATCCCAAAATATCCAAAATAATACAATATTGAGTTTAAGACAAAATAGAGTTACGACTGAATATCCAAAATAAAGCGTCGTACAGTACATGTCCTCTAAGAATGACTTAAAACGTACTTTGAAAGTCTCGGTTAATCTGATTTGTTGTTTTGGAATAATTGATGTCGAGAACTTTCCATGAATTGCCTCCTAAGAACCTGCGAACGGAAAAACATTTCGAACGCTGAGCTTCCGAGCTCATTGCCTCACTAGTAACTGTATTATATTACATGCATTCACTAAATGAGCTGATTAATGGTACAAGTTTGAAAACATGCAAATACTGATCTACTTAGCTGTGGTTGACATCATGTTGCGACTGAAGGTTCTATATCTCGGAGCTCACGCACCTTCTTGCCTGCCGAAATATCCCCTGGTACTTTGGGGTGAGATCCGGAACCACATCGAAGACGTACACCCGACCAACTTATTCCGTTAGGCCTTAGGGAATATGTTCCCAATTGCTTACTAAAGTTACCTTGGCACTGACTTGGATATATAGCTTACTGTCGTAATCCTGTTAAGAGAGACTCGAGTGTCGTGTCTATTTTTTCGAGTGTCAAACAAGGCTAGTTTTATGAAATCCTAGTTGTTACTATTTCTACTGTTATGATATTAATTAATGTTCTCACTTCTAATCTTATTTACTACTACACTAGTGCATTTGGGTCCCTCACGTCTGATCCCTTAATCTGTGGATTATTTATCCAAAACTGCTAGTGGGTACCGATACTGACCCTTAAGTATCGACACTGAACCTTTGGTATCGATACCCACTTGTTGGTATCGATATCGTTATGACTGACATAGGCTGATTGGGTAAGGTAGTATTGATAGTCAATGTTGAGTATCGATACTCTGGTGCTAGGGTATCGATACTAAAATTAGGTTCGATGTTTTGAAAAATACTTCGATATTGATACCCCTACTGGTAGTATCAATGCCCTGCCTTGGTATCGATACTCTATGTGAGTACTAATACCAAATTTGTGCACTTAAATATTGGTATCGATACCAATCCTATGAGTATCAAAACTGTGACCCCAGTATCGATACTCCTTGATTGAGTATCAATACTACCTTTAAAAATCCACTGATTTTTGCTTGAATGAGGACAATATCAATACTACCCTTGTTTTGACATGAAAAAATCATATCTTTCTACCCCAAAAGCCCTATTGAGGTCCCCAACTAATGTTTAAGTGTTATGTCTGATATTAAGGGTCATAAAAAGGCCATAAACATGATGAAAACACTCAAACTCTAAAATCTACCATGAACATGCTTCAAGCTTATGTAACCTACCAAAAATCACCAAATGGGCTACATATGGTAGAGATGAGTTAGAAATGAGTAACCTTACTAATCTAGGTTGTTGAAAACATCCAAGGTTCAACCCAAAGTGAGTTTCTCTCTTCCTTTTGCTTTGGAGCTTTCTCCAATTTCTTTCACTAAGCTAAAATCAAGTATACAAGTTACTAATGTTGTTGGGAAGCTTAGAGAATTTAAAACGTTTCAAGAGGCTTGAATCTTCTCAAAACGAACTGAAAACACTTAGGTATTTAAAACCCCCACTAAACCCACATTTTGGAAACTAAGGTGGAATGGTAAGTTGATAGCTTAATTTGAAGCTGAGATGATGAGGATTACGAATCGTACCTTCAAATTGACAAACTAGAGTTGTAAGGCCACCAAGCTACCTCCTTTAACTATTCAACTTGAAGGAAAGAAGAAAAGAAAAGATGAAGGCTTCGGAGTAGAGGAAGAAGACAAAAGTGAAGAAAAAGAGACATGCTACGTGACCTCACCCACAATTAAACAAATTCAGCCTTTCAAAAAGAAATTGGTTAAATTACTCCCTTGGTCTCATGATTTTGATTGCAAGCTAAAAATGCCCTTTTATCCACTATTTGGCGCAATCCAAGTCCAATTTCACTTAGCCTTGGATCAATGCTTCCTACAAGCTATGGATTTTATTCAAAACCTGATTCGAATTAACCCAAAATTCTTAACCCATAATTCGAGGCGTTACAATGATCTATCTATTCTTGCTTACCAGGAATGTTCACTGCTGGCAGCTCATCAGGGTTTCCATGTAATATTTGTTAAGCGAGCAAGCAATGTTGTTACCCATAAGTTAGTTGATTGGGCTCTTAGAACTAGCAGCACTTTATTTTCGACCCGCTTTATCTCAAGAAGTTTAATTATGTTGTTTCTGCCGATGTAGCAATCTAATTTCTTTGTAATATTTTATTCCATGCTCTAAATTACCCATAATGAAAAAAATAATGGTCAATTAAAATTTCCCATCTTTGTTTTGAAAAGGAAGACTAAATTTAGTAGTAAGCTTTCTCTTGAAATATGGGTCAAATTGCGATATAATGATATAATAGAACATTCCATGTAAAACTCATGAATAGAAGTTAAAGATAAAGGGAATTAAACATCCATCGTATTTTCCTCTTATTAGGATGTGAAGTCAAGTATCCGTTTAGGTTTCAGGTCGGATTATGTCAGGTTAGGTCAAATTGGATACATGTTATATTAGGTCAATTTAATGGTTTGACTCGAATTAGATCGGGTTCGAGTTGATTCAGTTCATGTCTTTTTCAAGTTGATTTAAAGTTAGATTCAATTTGAGTTCGAGACGAGTCAGTTTCAATTCAGATCAATATCAATTAAAGTCAAAATGATTCGGATCCATATAAGTTAAATATCATGTTAATTCATGTTTAGATGGACTTCAGTCGAATCTCGTTTAGATCAGGTCACGTCATTGGTAGATAAAATTAAGGTAGGATCCTACAGGGTACAAATGGACTTCAGGTCAGACCATTTTTGGGTGAATTATTTTCTGCCTTTAATGAACGTCAAAATGAAATTTGTAATTGTATAAGATTTGGAGTAACTTACAAAAAGTACAAATAATAATTGGTCAATTTTGATAAAAATATTTAAGGATTAAACTGAACAAACATGAAATTACAAACTAAAATTTAAATAAATTAAATAATATGTGGGAATCAAGTTGAAACAATTATAAAATGTAAAATTGAAATTAATATGAAAATAAACAAAATTAGATCCGTTTAAAAAGTTTGTAAACAAAAGTTTATAGAGTTTGGAGATTACGATATGATTCATAGGATTTGAAATGAAGATTATGATGCGATCTATAGGGTTTGGAGTACATTAAAAAATAGAAATAATTATGAGCCAATTTGTGATAAGAATATAATTTTAAGGACTAAATTGAACAAACATGAAATTATAAAATGAAATATAAATAAATTAAATAACATAGAGAGATCAAATCGAAATAATTGTAAATTGTGAAGATGAAATTAATATAAAATAGACTAAATTGCATTCATTTAACAAGTTGGTGAATAAAAGTTTATAGGGTTTGAAGATTACGATATAAGTTAAGTGCATGAAATAAAGTTTATGAATTGATTTATAGAGTTCGAAGTAAATTATAAAAATATAAAATGTATGAGCTAATTTCAGATAAATAATATAATTTTAAGGACTAAACTTAACAAACATAAAATTACAAACCAAAATTTAAATAAATTAAATAATACATAGAGATCAAATTGAAACAATTGTAAAATGTGAAGCTAAAATTAATATCACATTAGACTAAATTGTATTTATTTTAAAAATTGGTGAACAAAAGTTTAATGTCTTAATCAATATTTTTATTAAAAAAATATTGTAAAAATATATTGATGCATGAGAAATGAGAATGTATGTATGATGCATGTACTATGTAGAACACACATTTATGTATGATGAATGTAGAACATGTACATGTATATGTATAATGTATGTATAATGCATGTATTACATGCATGTATGATTGTATATATGATATATGTAGAACATGTATGTATGTATTATGTATATATAATATATACATGTATGAATGATGCATGCATGACATGCATGTATGGATTTATACATGTAGACATGTATGTATTAATATCATACATACATACATA